GCATCATTTCCTGCCGCAGCAGCAGCTGCTGCTGCTGCACTGTCTGCTGCTGGCCCCTCTCCAGGCTGCAGCAGCGACCCGAACTCGGCGTCCTCCTGCAGATCCTGCTAGCAGCAGCAGCAGCAGCAGCAGCAACAGCAGGAAAAGCAGCAGCAGCAGCAAGAGGATGAGCAGCAGCTGCAGCAGAGCTGGGCACCTGAGACGCGCGCTGTTAAACCCCACAAGCGAAGCAGCAGGTTAGGGTTTAACGTTTGGCAGCAAAGTAGGGTCTAGGGTTTAGGGTTTGGGGTTTAGGGTTTAGGGTCTAGGGTTTGGGATTGGCCCTCACTTGCAGCTTTTGTAGCTCCGCCCATTCTTGGTCAAATCCAGAAACCACAGCCTCTGGTCCGCAAACCCTAAACCCTAAACCCTAAACCCTAAACGCTAAACCCTAAACCCTTGACCGCTAGCCCCATATTGTGGATCTTCAACACTCCTCTGCAACACCTGCAACAACGACAGCAATACTGTAGCAGCAGCAGCAGCAGCAGCAGCAGGGGAGTACCTGAGTTTTTGCTGTCTGCTGAGACAGTTTCAGACTTCTGGGCCGGGGAAGCTGCTGCTGCTGCTGCTGGTGCTGCTGCTGCTGCTGCTGCTGCTGCCGGCGGCGACGCTGCTGCAGCGGGGGCAACGGCAGGTGCTGCTTCTGCTGCTGCAGCAGGTTTTACTGCTGCTGCTGCAGGTGCTGCTGCGGCTACTGGAGCTGCCTCCATCTTGTTCTGCTGCTGCTGCTGCTGCTGCTACTGCTGCTGCTGCGTCTACAAAAGCCGCTAGCAGCAGCAAATGCTCCCGCTGGTGCTCAAAAAGGAAAGCTGCTGCTGCTGCTGCTGCTGCTGCCGAAGCAAACAGCCCTGCGCTCTAAGACAGAAGCAAAGGCTGCAGAATTAAAAAGGCGCTGCAGCAGCAGGAGGGGAGGGGTTCCGACGCATGCAGCAAAACCTAGACCCTAAACCCTAAACCCTAAATCCCAGACCCTAAACCCTCGATGCAGACCCCTCATGCAAATCAAAACGAAGAAGCTTCGCCTCTCTGCTGCCAGACAAACAAAAAGCTGCGCAAATTACGAACTGCAGCAGCAGCAGCAGCAGTAGGGCAGCAGCAGGGGCTGCTGCTGCTGCCACAGCGGCTGGGGG